CCGCGTCATCGCTCCGAGCCCGGTCGGCCGCCCGCGCGGCGCCGCCGAGACCGCGGCCCGGGGTGACGCCCTCAGGTAAGGCCTCCGCCTCACCCTTCGCCCTTGTCTCCGCGCTCCTCCTGTCTCCTTCCCTACTCGGTTGCTCTGAGAGCGCTGCGCCGGCTCCACTGCCTCCTCTGCAGTTCGAACCCCGCCGTTGCCATACTAACCCCAGTAAGGGATGGGGGTTCCGGTGCCGTCGTCTTGGCGACGGAGGGTGTTCCTCCCGGCCCACGTGGTGCCGGCGGGGAGGGAATGCTGGTCGATCCCGGCGCCGGGCTTGCGGGGCAGCGTAGCTTAAGCAAAGGGTAGGGAGAGGGACACAGCCCGCCGGCCCCGGGGGCTGGGCTGGGTGCGGCGGCGCGTGAGCCCCGGACGGCGACAGTGCAGAAAGATGTCTTGGGCCCTGCCCCTGAACCAGGAGCCACCATGTTGGTGATACCCCCCGGACTGAGCGAGGAGGAAGAGGCTCTGCAGAAGAAATTCAACAAACTGAAGAAGAAGGTGAGGGAGTGCATGTGGGCGTGGCCCAGCCTTTCGCCGACGCGCTGAGACCACCCGGGGTGAGTGAGGCGTGGAGGTTCTGGCTCTTCCCTAGAGCCTGTCACCTCAGGGTAGCTTCACAGGTAGTCTTTTGTTTCCATGTGTACCTTGTCTCTTCTGTTCAGTTTGCCATGGAGTTGTCTCCCTTTCCCATGGCTTTTATTACCACCTTAAAACTGGTGATCCCCAAGTGTGGTTTTTCCAGTTCCGCCTGGTGTCTTACTGATAACTTCTTACCCAAAATAAAGCTCTCCTCTTCCTACCTGTTCTAATCTAGTTCCTTTTCTTGATCTTCCAAACGTGGATGGACCACATTCAGTACTTCCGTGTGTTTGGAATAAAAAATTTAAGCTCTGCCCTGGCGGGTTAGAGCAAGGTTGCAGGTTCGATCCCAAGTCAGGGCACATACAAGAATTAACCAGTGAATACATAAATAGATGGAACAACAAATCAGTGTTTCTCTCTCTAAAATCAGTTATTTTTTTAAAAAATCTTATCTCTGACTTCTCCATTTGCATAGCCAAACATTTGCCAAGCCTTCTTCTTGATTCTTTCTTGAAAATAATTTCTCCCATTTATTTATTTATTTTTTAAATATGTCTTTATTGATTTCAGAGAGGAAGGGAGAGGGATAGAAAAACATCAATGATGAGAGAGAGTTGTTGATCGGCTGCCTCCTGCACACCCCCTACTGGGGATCAAGCCCACAACCCGGGCATGTGCCCTGACTGGGAATGGAACCTCCATCTCCTGGATCCTAGGTCGATGCTCAACCGCTGACCCACACTGGCCGGGCTCCCATATCTTTTTTCAAGAGTATTCCATAGATGAGGTCTTTGCTGATGTTCACTTAGACTGTTACAGTGGTCTCCAGACATGTTTCTTGTTGTGTTTTTGAAATAGACGTCTGCCCTCTTGTTAAAATGATTGATTGGAAACACAGGATGCTGTCCTTTTTCTCAGAACCCTTAAGTGGTTTCACGTTGTCTATAGAGTAAGGATTTTAGTAAAATAGAACTATTCACTAGTCCCAAAACATGCATTCCCAAAGCCTTCTTATCTCAGCATTTTTCCCACCCTATTTTCTTTGTCTAAAATGCTCTTTTTTCAGTCTCTGTTGTGTAGATTCTACCCAGGGACCAGTTTAATAGCCATTTGACATCAGAAAATTGTACTTGCTCTCAAACAGTTTTAATCTCTTATAAACATTCTTGGCGATTTAGTCATTTTATTTCTCAGATTGTAAGCTTCTTGTGGGGAGGAACTGTGTCTCATACTTTTGCATATCCCTATTATGAAGAAATGAGTGGTGTGTTCTTGTTAAATATATAGGGGATGATGGATGAAGCCCCAAGAAAGGCACATAGGCTTATACTACTTACTTGCAGCTTGTAACCTGGAGCTCTGGTTCATGAATGAATTCCTTGTCTTCACCTTCAAAAACATCATACTCTGGATACCATGGTTTGGATAGCTTAGTTATCACTGGCACTGTAGATGACCTGGGAAACCATGTGTAAGCGGCAGGGCTGCCTCAGTGAAGTGAACCACTCCAAGAGCACCATTTGCATTGTCTTCTCTGAAAAGGTGACCCCTGGAGTGATGCGCCCAGTGGCCTTGGCAAAGGATCTGGTCAGGGAATGGCCTCACCAACCCCTCTCTCATCATTCTTTTTTTTTTTAAATATCTTTATTTCAGACAGAGGAAGGGAGAGAGAGAAACATCAGTGATGAGGGAGTCACAGATAGCTACCTCCTGCAGGTCCCCTACTGGGGATTGAGCTTACAACCCGGGCATGTGCCCTGACCAGGAATCGAACCATGATCTCCTGGATCCTAGGTTGATGCTCAACCGCTGAGCCATGCCCGGCCGGGCTCTCTTCTCATTCTTGTTCCCAGAAAAAGGCATTGCTGGCTCTAAAGAAGCAAAGCAGCAGCAGCACAGCCAGCCAAGGCGGTGTCAAACGCTGTGAGTGACTGGAAACGGGGCTAGCCTAGAAAAGGGGAGTGTGGGCTGGCCTTTCTCAAACCTGGCTGAAATAACGCCTCTTTTCCTCCCATTCCAGCACTGTCAGAGCAGCCTGTGGTGGACACCGCCACCGCAACAGAGCAGGCAAAGCAGCTGGTGAAGTCAGGAGCCATCAGTGCCATCAAGGCCGAGACCAAGAACTCGGGCTTCAAGCGCTCTAGAACCTTAGAGGGGAAGTTAAAAGTAAGCACAAGCAGAAAGGTTGTTCAGGGGACCCTTGACTTCAGAGGGTACTCTCCAAGTTGGAATGGAGGCAGGGTTAGGGGCAAGTAAATGCCTGATGATCATGTGCAAATTGCCTGCCACTCTGAGCTTTGGGTTGCTTATTTGAGAAGCAGAGAAAATGGATGATTCCCGAGTCCTCCACGTTACACAGCCTGTGACTCCAATCCATGTATTAGGGCTCTTGGGTCATGTTTTCAGGAGATGAAAGGCTGAAACGTCAGCAGGTTCAAGAAATGTTTAGATACACTAAATACTTCAAGGGTACATTAGAGTCTTTTACTTTAAAATGCCACATAATCAAATAAGAAAAGTACAAAGGAATTAAAAGAAAAAAAAGATACGCCTCCGGAAGCCCAGAAGAGGTGAGAGAAGAGGAATCCCCTCTGTCCTGTGGTTAGGCAGCCTCCTACTCCCACACTGAGTTAGGCCTCTACCACCTTCCAGGACCCTGAGAAGGGGCCGATCCCCACTTTCCAGCCGTTCCAGAGGAGCATATCTGCTGACGACGATCTACAGGAGGTAACGGTTCCCAGTCCTCTGTCCCTGAGGGACCCACATTCCAGCAATTAGGAATCCTCTTAACTGAAACTTGGTCTCTTTTCCAGTCATCCAGACGTCCCCAAAGGAAATCTCTGTATGAGAGGTTAGCAAGTTAGAAATAGGTCTGGGTCCTGGTAGGTAGAGGGGGGGTTGCCTGATCCTTGGGGGAGGTATGGGGCTGGAGTGGAAGGAGCTGTGGCTGCAGAGGGAGTGTTGAGTCTCTACGGGGTCTGGGAAAACAAAGTAAAGGCCCCCTTTGATCCTCATTGTCTGCCTCCCCCTAGCTTTGTGTCTTCCAGTGACCGGCTTCGGGAACTGGGGCCAGATGGGGAAGAGGCAGAAGGCCCAGGGGCTGGTGATGGTCCCCCTCGAAGCTTTGATTGGGGCTACGAAGAACGTGGTAGCACCCGCTCCTCAGTCTCCCCTCCGCGAAGCCGCAGCCGGGACCGCAGTCGTGAGCGGAACCGGGACAGGGAACGGGACCGGGAGCGAGATCGGGACCGAGACCGGGAGCGGGACAGAGATCGAGACCGGGAACGGGACAGAGATCGAGACCGGGACAGAGACCGGGAACGAGACAGAGACCGAGAGGGCCCTTTCCGCAGTGAGTGGGCTTGGCTGGTGGGGAAAGTGACCTCAGATAGGACTTAGGTGGTTCCAACTAAAGTGGACTTTTAAAGTGGAGGGTGACAGCATATGTTTTGTGATCCCATAGGGTCGGACTCATTCCCTGAACGCCGGGCCCCTCGGAAAGGGAATACTCTCTATGTGTACGGAGAAGACATGACACCCACCCTCCTCCGTGGGGCCTTCTCTCCCTTTGGAAACATCATTGACCTCTCCATGGACCCACCCAGAAAGTAAGGATGGCATAGGGCAAGATAAGTCCCGGGAGGACCTGGGTGTGCGGCCTGGGGAGGAAGCCAACACATCTCCAGCAGCCTGTAAGCACTGGGTCCGGCTGGGTTCAGAGGAGCCCACAGTCCCTCTACTGACCCTGTTTTCTCTCATCCCAGCTGTGCCTTCGTCACCTATGAAAAGATGGAGTCAGCAGATCAGGCCGTTGCTGAGGTTGGGACTTCCCAGATCTAT